TTAAATGGCCCAAATCCTTCTCACTGACCACAGTGATCACAGAGCAGGACCTCTTGGCCTCTTGTTTCAGTTTAGATTTCCTAAAATTAAAATCTAGAGTGTACAGATGGGGAGGTGTAAGTCAGCAAGGTGCGAAACTGAAAGAGGAAGCTTCCAGACCGCAATATTTGAAAAAAAGATCAAAATGGCCATCATGTGGTAGGAGAAGTAGAGGGCCAGGAAGGACGGGATGAACAGGAGAGCCCTGATGGGGGCGCCCCTGCAAGGATCCTGGGTTCCTGTAGTCATGTGCCATGCGTGTCTCCATAAGAAAAAAATCAAGAGCAGAAGAGCAGTAAGGAAGATAATCAATGGCACTGTAAGATGAGCACACAAGATAGAAAGTGGCACAATGTCCATTCCTTTAATTTGAGTCATATTTTTAATGAAAAGGTTGCCCCCAAATTTTTAGGTCATAGTCCATGCATGACTTTTATGGATGCCAGGAATGATGGATGCGTACAGTGTAGACCCCAGGATCAGCCAGGGCACCAATTTCCAGCCAGGAAATTATCCTCTTTTGCCGGAAGAACAAGGACTGTGGGGTGGTGCTGATCTTGGCACAGTAGAAAACACCAAGCCATGTGGCCAACCAAATTCACCAAATATTTACAAACATAAAAATTGCATTAAGCTTCACAAGTACTGACTTCTTTGTGAAGGAGAGGATAGCCAGATGTGCCAGGATGATAGGCATGTGCAGAGTAATCCTTGAAATTGCCAGGCAGGAAAGGAGCAGATCCCTGTGTCTGCTTGACAGAGTCCACCGCATTCACCACCATGATGAAACCATTTGCGAGGACCCCTGGAAGAACTTGTGTCAATGCTATAAGAAAATGGACGATGATCTGATGGCTTAGCATGTTGGGAGGAGAAAAATCAGTCACTTTTTTAAGTCATGTATAGATGTTCAGAGGGTTTCAATCATTCAACCTCTTTTCTCTTTTCAACTAGAGCAGGATCCTCTGAGGAACACGGTTCTAATCATGAATGTGATGCAGAAGAAAAGCAGTGCACAGCTGTTTATTTATATCACTACTGTATCAATTTAATTCTGAGGCATCCAAATAAGAACAAAATAGTCCAGCAATCATTTGCTTCTTGCTGATGGTTTTGGTATTTTCTAGTTCTTCTTCGCTTTCCTGGTAACCATAAGCAAATAGGGAAATTGGATCCCTTCCATGACTGCCGGAAGTCTGCTCAGCTGGAGAGCCAGCCAGAGCCCCTCAGCCTTCACCTCCACCATGATTAACTAGACGCACCACAGCTGGGATTCTACTTCACATTTTCAAGATATTCTTCAAAAACACTTTTAAAAATTGCTTCTACTATCATATATCCCAGAGTCAGCACTGTTAGTCTGTCATAAGTAATTCTCTAATGTACAAAGGCTTAGAAAACCAGGACTCCTAACATATAAGGACATTCTATAATAAAATATTCAGGGTACTGACCGAAGTATCACTCCCTAGACAAGTAAGGCACTAAGGGTTATGTGTAGGTGTAAACACTACATCAAAATCCACGTGTGAGACCAAATGGAGGCTGTTGGTGTTGGGAGGTACGTATAATTGTAGTGTTTAATATTTTTATTGATTGCAGTGCTCCTATGTTATCCAGTGTAGGTCAGAAGGGAGTGCTGAGAGAGGGAAAGGCCCTGGCCCTCTTTACGGCGTGGAGAATGCAGCCTCTGTGTGACAATGAGCACCAAACGATTTCCAAGCAACTTTGTGGTTCAGATCTGGCAGCTGGTCACACTTGTGTCCATGTAAGCTACTGCTGTCCCTGAAATTTCCCTCCTAGTAGGTAATGGCTGCAAAATACTCTGCTCTGGTAAATTCCCTTATAACTCACAGGACTGATCCTCTAGCTGCAAGCCCAAAATGCAATCAGTCAAGTGCCGACACTCAGGAGTGTGTAGATTGGACCCTACCCCATAAAACAGGACAGCTGTCCCTAATTTGGCCTTCTCTGACTCCTCTTCCTCTTTTGAGGTCGAGATAGATACTGACCCAGCGAGGTTACAACTGCTGATCACTGACTCTAGATCCAGGGAACCTCACAGTAGAAACACATGGGAACTTCTCAGTGAATATCACCATGATTAGTCACTGCAGACTGTGGAGAACTCCAAGGTCAGGCACTGAGCACTCAGGCTCAGACTGCAGAGTGCACAGGTTGGGGCTCCTCTCTGAAGAGCTAAGTGCTGTCCCTGCAGTTCCCTCTCCAGGAAGAGGCTCCTTCTGGCCCGAACTCTATTCTAAACCCTCTCTGGAAGCCAGACTGCCTGCACCGCAACACTGAGCTCCTGGGCACAGGCGTGTAGGGCAGGTGGACAGCACAGGATGCCTCTGGCTGTAGTACCGGTGCTGCCCAGGCCTGCCTTGTCCTGGCTCCTCCTGTCTCCTTCCTGCAGCACAGGGAGTTCCCAGGATCACACATTTTTGTTGCTCATGGTTTGGGTCTCAGAGCAGGGATGCTTCTGCTTCAAGTTGGCAGGAGAGAGATGAGAGAGCACCCCTGTGTCTGCATGCCTGGTGCTCTCCTGAGGCCAGGGTTCCTCATGGTCCCCGCTCTAATGAGTGGCCCACGTAAACTCCCCAGGGGTTCCCCTCTAAAGGGCAGAGTGATTTAAGTTTCTTCCTTCTCCTTCCCCATAGCGAGGACGAACTTCAGCACGGGCACCTGGAGGGACACCCAAGCCACGTGCAGACCACAGCCATCGCCATAAACCCTGCTTACGCCCTTTATATCTTCTTCCTCCTGTTTCTCCTCCCTTCCTCACTTTCTTTTTTCTTTCTTTCTTTTGCACTTTCTTTCTTTCTCATCTTTCCTTTCTTTCTTGCCTCCTTTTGCTTTTTGTCTAGGGCTTTCTCCTTCTCTCTCTCTCTCTCTCTCTCTCTCTCTCTCTCTCTCTTCCCCCTCTCTCTCTCATCTTGTTATCTTCCTCACTTTCTTTTTCTTTTTGCTTTCTGTGATCTTGTAGATTGAACGAGGAATCTTTACACTGAGCTACCTCTGCAGCTTCTAAAAAGTTTTGCTGATCAAGTTATTGCTATGTTGCTAAGCACCCAGGCTAAGTTCACATTTCAGTCCCCTGCTACAGCCTTGCAGGGTGCTGGAAATATAGGCATGAACTACCACACCTACCTAACTGGCACCATTTCTAAAAGCAGGGGATATGGGCTGTTCCCAGAATGACTGAGGTGAAACTACTGCTAGATGATAGTAGGACCAAAACTGTTGGGCAGGGCTGCTGAGTCCAGGGAGAAGGCTGAGAGGCTTCTGATTTCAAGATGGAGCAATGAGTGCTGACCACAAATCCATCAGCACAATAGTGAGGCCACTTTTCTACAAGAGATTTATTTCAAAGAAAGTGGGCAGTGGTTATTTTTTTTGCAATCTTTTATTATACTCTGTGGTTTTACTTTATTACAAAGCTTGATAGCATTGCAAGTATACAAACTTGGTTCAGAGTTATGCTATGAACTAGTACTATTAGACCAAAATACAAGACACGGAGTCAGCAGTTGATGTCTGAGGAAAAATCGCAGGTGATTTCTCCCTGGATGTGTGAAGCTGCTCCCACTCTCCCTGCCCACCTGCAGGAGTCACATCCCAGGTTCACACAGCAAGTGTTTGCTGAGCTGCAGATGTCAGAAGAACGAGAGTGTATCAGGTGTTCCTCCCAGTAGGAGCAATATTCACCCCCAGGACACAGGTGTTCTTCCCAGAGCTGAGGGAGAGACAGGGAGTCACAAACAGGAAGTGGGGGCTACTCCTTTGTTCACTGTGGAGTCAGCGCTGAGCCTTGGGAAGACACAGAGCATTTTTACACCCACAGCGAAGAAGACATCTCTGGATCTTCTGAAGCATTCCTCTACCAGCGGCATGACTGGGATACAAACATCGGAATTTGAATCCTTGCTATTGATGACTAGCAAATCTAAAGATAAGTTTATACATCAGTTTATACATCATCACACATGAACACAGTATAACAGCTAAACTAAGAACATCTCTTGTTTTATTGACTCACCTGAAAGCAAAGAACTTTTGAATTTGGTTTGAAACATGTATGATCCTCATAGTTTCCAAAATCATCAGCCAGCCTGGCATGAAATGCATGTCTGAGATCAAGCACACAGGGACACCTCAAGTCCCTCTAACCTACTGGTGCTGCCTCACTGGGAAGACAAGTCACAGGGTAGAAGGATGAAATCACCACCCACCATTGGAAGGGTTTTAGAGCCAAGTGCACACATGTAGAAATAAACACCTTTGCAAGGTATTGGCTGTCCAAGGTGCATAATTAGGTTAGATGGCCAATGAGCCTTCAGGCCCCTACTCGCTCTACTGCCCTTTGTCCACCTATCAGCCTTTTTAACGTTTCTAGGAAGTCTCACCATGACATCTAGATTCTCTGCAAGAGAATATGCTCTCTGGAGCCAAAAAAGACTCGTCTTCAGATTCTTTGCCAGTCTAAGAAAGGCTTCATTAAAGAGGGCAGAAATCACATGCAAGTACACAGTGAAGAATCATCAGCCATGTGAGTTAGATAAGCCACTGAAAACTAGACATTCTGCTGACAGAGGCACTATAACCCATCAGTGTTTTCAGGAGAATCATGATTTCAAACAAGTTCTTCTTCAGTGCCTTCCGCTTGGGACAATCGTGGTTTTTCCTGTACTTTGAAGAAATCATGCACTAAGATCCCTGTACCATTTATCTTGCAGGATGGTGGTTCCATATCACAACAAGAATGCTGACATCGATGTAATTCAGAGACATTTGATATGCTTTACAAATCAGCATCATCTTTTGTGACAATAGAAAAGCTGTAACCGTGGCTCAGGATGGACAGGCTGTGATGACGAACAGAATGTTTGTTGGGCGACTGAGGGAGGCAGACATGGGGAAGCCACTGCCTCCCAGATCCTTTCAGATGATGGAGTTACTCCTCACTGGCCACAGTGAGTGCAGAGCAGGAACTTCTTTGCCTTTTGTTTCAGTTTAGGATGTCCTAAAATTAAGATGACCGAGTGTATAGATGGGTAGGTGCCAGCTATGAAGGTGCAGAACTCAAAAAGGAAGCTATCAAACTGCACCATTTGAAAGAACAACACAATGACCATCATGTAGTGAGAGACATAGAGGAACAGGAAGGACAGGATGGACAGCAGGGCCCTGAAGGAGGCGCCCCTGTGGGGACCCGAGCCTCCTGTAGCCATGGTTCTCCTGTGCTGGGTGTGCCTCCACAGAGAGAAAATCAGGATCAGAACAGCGATGAGGAAGATGATTAATGGCACTATCACATGAAAAATCAAAACAGAAAATGATACAATGTCTAATCTTTTGGTTTCAGTTGCATTTCTGGAGAGAAAGTTGGCCAAAATATTTTGGGTAATACTCCATCTTTGTTTTTCGTTCATGCCAGCACAAATAGATGCATATAACAGACAACCCAGGATCAGCCAGGGCACAGACTTGGAAATCCTCCTCTTCAGCCAGAAGAACAGTGGATGCGGGATGGTGGCAATCTTGGCACAGTAGAAAACACCAAGCCACGTGGCCAACCAAAGCCCCCAAACATTTACAAACATAAAAATTATGCTTGTCTTAGCAAGTACTGACGGTTTCAAGAAGTAGACGAGAGACAGATGTGCCAGGAAGATGAGCACCTGCAGAATAATCCTTGAAGTCGCCAGGCAGGAAAGAAGCAGATCCAAAGGAGCCATCTGTCTCTGCTTGAAGAAGTCCACCATGTTCACCACCACGATGAAGCCGTTTGCGAGGACCCCAGGAAAAAACTGTGTCACTACTACAAGAAAATGGGTAACGAACTGATAGGTTAGCATGTTGGAAGGACAAAAATCAGTCGTGCTTTACAGGTGTGTAGATTCTCAGACAGTTTCAGTCATTCGCCCTCTCGGACTTCTTCAGCTAGAGCGGGACCCTTGGTGGAGGTGCACCTTCTACTAATGAAGGCGATGGAGTATGAGGGTGCTGTGCATTTGTTTATAGCACTGCTTTCTCAATTGAGTTCTGAGATATTCAAATAAGGAAGAGACAGCCCGGCAATAATTTGCTTCTTGCTGACGACTTTTGCATTTTCTAGTTCTTCTTAGCTTTCCTGGTCACCATAAGCAAATAGTGGAACTGGATCCCTTCAGGTGACTGCTGGAAGTCTGCTCAGCTGAAACACCAGGAAGAGAATCTCAGTCTCCATTTCCATCATGAATAACTATTTATGCCACAGCTGGGATTCTACTTCATATTACCCAAGTATTTTGCAAAAATTACCTTAAAAAATTAATTCTGTGATCATTATGTTCCATGACCAGGTACTAATAATCTCACATAGTAATTCTCTAATGTAAAAAGGTTGAGAAATTTCCCAGTCTTCCAACATATACGTGGTACAAGCTGGGGTATCACTGAGTATACATGCAAGGCAGTAAGGGTTTCATGTGTGAGTAGGCACCACATCGAACCCCAGTGACAGCCAATGAGGGCGGCTGTTATTGGGAGATAGTTAGAATTGCAGTGTTCATTATTTTAATATTCAAATTGTTTTGATATGCATATTTTAAATATTCTTACACAGTGTAGGGGCAGAGTGACCCCTAGGGAGAGTAAAAGGCCAGGCCCCTTTTGGAGGGTGGCGAATGCAGGGTCTTCGTGGCTATGAGCACCAAGCAGTTTCCAAGCATGTTCACAGTTTAAGCTGATAGCCTGTCACTCTTGTGTCTGTGTGAGCTTCTGCTCCCCTTAATTTGCTTTCCATTAGGCAAAGTCGCCAACACAAATCGCTCTGTGGATTCCCCTTATGAATCAAAACACTGGTCCTCTCGCCACATGTCCAATGTCCAGTCAGTCAAGTTTGGACCCTCAAGGGTAGAGATGGGACCAACTCCATAAAACATTCCAGCTGCCCCCAGATTTGGCTGTTTCATAGCTGTGAGCACCCCCTCCACCCTGGGGGGTGGCTTTGTGCTGCTCCCTACAATACCTACAAGAAAACTACTTTGGCTTTGCACTGGCCTTCCTTCACTCCTCTTCCTCTTCGTCAGAGACAAACATGACCCACCAAGTTAGTGCCACTGCTGTCCACTCATCAGGCTTAGTCATGTCAGGTGATGTCATCACCCTTAGTCACTGCAGACACTGCAGGACTCCACTGTCAGGCACTAAGAGTGCCCAGGTTGGGGCTCCTCTCGGAAGAGTTAAGCACTGTCCCTGCAGGTCCCTCTTCAGGAAGAAGCTGCCTCCTGGCACAAACTGTCCCAAAGCCCTCTGTGGAAGCCAGGCTGACTGCACCACAACACTGAGCTCCTGGGGCTCAGGGCATGGAGGGCAGGTGGACAGCACTGGATGCCTGCTGCAGTACCCATGCTGCCCAGGCCTGCCTTGTCCTGGCTCCTCCTATCTCCTTCCTGAAGACGATGGAGTTCTCAGGAACACAGGTTTTTCTTGCACATAGTGGTCCCAGAGCAAGGCTGCATCTGCTTCCTGGTGGCAGGAGAGAGGGTGAGAGCACTCTGTGTCTATGCCTGGCTTTCTTCTCCAGAAGCCACCAGGGTTCCTCACGGGCCCCCCTCAGATGACTCACCCCACTGCAAACTCCCCCAGAGGTTCCCCTCTAAACAACAGGGGGATTAAATGTTTTCTTTCTCTTTCCCTGTAGTGAGGACGCACTTCAGCACAGGTACCTGGAATAACATTCAAGCCACGGCCAGACCACAGCCATCATCAGAAACCCTGCCACCCTCTTTCTGTCTTCCTTCATCACATTTTCCTTCCCTTTCTTCCTTCCTGTCTTCTTTCACTTGTTGTCTTGGTCTTTGTTCTCTCTCTCTCTTTTCCTTTTTTGCATCTAGTGGTCTTAAAGATTCAACCTGGAGTCTTCACACTGAGCTACAGCCACAACCTGTAAAAGGGCTTTTTTAATGAAGGTATTTCTATGTTGCTAGGTCTGCCAGGCTGTGGTCACCCTCGCTGACCTCCTGCCTTCTCCCCTCAGAGTGTTAGATTTGCAGGCATACGTTACTGTGCTTACCTAAGAACCATCGTCTCTAAAAGCAGATGGCATGGTCTGTGGCAGCATAGAGAAGTCAAATTGCTTCTAGATGAGAGAAGGACAAAGCTACTGGGCAGGGTGACTGAGTGCAGGTAAAGAGGGCTCCAGGGAGACAAAGCTGAGTTCTTCTGATTTCAAGACAGCAAGGCGTGCTGCACACAACACCCAGCAGCACAGCATCTAGGCAAGAAATTTACTCCAAGGAAAGCAGGCAATGGTTTTGTTTTCACAATGCTTTATTATGCTCTTTAGTTTTATTTTATTACAAATCTCAATAACATTACAAATTTATAAACTTAGTCATACCTTTGTAGTTCTCCTATTAACTAGCACTATTAGAGCAAAGACAAATGAAATGGAATCTCAATTTGCTATCTAAGAAACAAACTCTTCCTGGATTTCTCTCTGTGTGTGCAGTTGCTCCCACTCTCTGCCCACCCACAGGACTCACATCCTGAGTTCACAGAGCAAGTGTTTGCTCATCTGAAGATGTGAAAAGAAGAAGAGTGTGGCTTCACTGTTGCTTCCCAGCAGCCAGGTCAGGGCTGGGGGGCTCTTCACAGAGCTGGGTACCGGTGGGAGGAACTTGGAGGAATTGTGAGCCAGGGACAGGAAGTGGGGGCTGTTCATTTGTTCCCCGGGGAATCAAGTCTAAGCCCTCGGAAGACAGCACTGTGATGCCCACAGCCCAGGAGACACACACATTTCTAGATCTTCTGAAGAACTCCTCTATGAGATGCACATCTGGGATTCAAAGATGAGAATTTGAATCCTTACCTCAGGAAATTGATAAATCTAAATCTTACACATAGGTGATACAACATCACACAGGAACTCAAATTAACAGCTAAATTAAAATGTGTGTTATTTTATTGACTTTCCTGAAAGCAAAATGGCTTTAAATTTGTTTTGAAAACATGCACGAACCTCTTGGTTTCCAAAATCCTCAGCCAGCCCAGCAGGTAATGCATCTCTGAGGTCAAGCAGATGTGGGCACCTCGAGTCCCTTCTACCTACTGGTGCTGCCTCATTGGGATGTCAGGGCATGTAGGAGGAGGACCAGATCACCAGCCATTGCAAAGGTCCCAAAGTCAGTGCACAGGAGTATAATGACACACTTTGCAAACCATGGTCTGATCAAGGTGCACAACAAAAGGAGACTGAAAAGGGAGCTTCAGATCTCAACTCCTCTCTCTTCTCTTCCTCTTCCTCTTCCTCTTCCTCTTCCTCCACCTATCAGCTTTTTTATTAGTTGTGAGGGAGTGTCAACCTGACATCTGAGTCACTGCAAGATTAACACGGTGAGTAAGTTCACAGCAACAAGAAGGACTCCCTGTCTTCAGCTTCCTGTCCTATCTAAGAAGGTCTTCATTGTCAGTGAGTCTAATAAGGAGGACAGAAGTGACATGCAGGTAGCCATCAGGTGAACAATCAGCCCACTTGGGTCAGCTAAAGCACTGAGGACTGCATACCCTACTGACAGCGCTGCAGGAGTCTGTGTGTTCCCGACATCATGAAATCAAGCAAGAGCTTTCTTCCTCTTCAAGACTTGCAACGTAGAGAAGTTGAGGTTTTCCTGCACTTGGAAGATTCTGTGCACAAAGATCCCTGCACGACTTACCTTGGAAGATGGCAGTTTCATATCCCTACCAGAACTGTCACAGATGTAACCCACTGACATTCATCGTGCTTTACAGATCAATGCCCTTTCAGAAGGTGTCAAATCTGTAAATGTGCCCAGAATGCAAGGGCTACAATGACAAGCAGTGCACCTAGGGGTGGGATATTTATTGGGTGAGTCAAGTGAGACAGGTGAAGGAAGTCATTGACTCCCAGATCCTTTCGCCTGATCCAAATCCTTTTCATGAACCACACCGACCACACTGACCACGGAGCCGGAACTTTTTTTGCATTTTGTTTCAGGTTAGGATTTCCTAAAATAAAGATGACAGAGTGTATATAGATGGGTAGATGTCAGCAACCAAAATGCAGATCATAAAGAAGAAGCTTCCAAACTCTGTAACTTGAAGAGTTCAAAATGACCATGGTGTAGTGGGAGAAGTAGAAGGTCAGGAAGGACAGGATGGACAGCAGTGCCCTGATAGGGGTGCCCCTGCAGGGATCCCGGGGATCCATAACCACAGTTCTTGTGTGCTGGGCGTGTCTCCCCAGGGAGAAAATCAAGAGCAGAACAGCAATGAAGAAGACAATGGCACAGTAAGACCCAAAATAAAAATAGAAAGGGGCACAGTATCTATTCCTTTGGCTTGAGTTGCACTTTTGGAGCAAAAGTCAACCAACATTTTTTGGGTAATAGTCCATGAATATTTTATCTGGATGCCAGTACTGATAGAAGCATACAATGTAGATCCAAGGATCAGCCAGGTCACCAACCAGGGAATCCTCATCTTCAGCCAGAAGAACACAGGGTAGTGATCTTGGCACAGTAGAAAACACCAAGCCACATGGCCAACCAAAGCCCCCAGTCATTTACAAACATGAGAATTACATACTACTTAACCAGTACTGATTGTTTCATGAAGGAGAGAAGAATCAGGTGCACAATGAGAATGTACTGGATACAAATCCTGGAAGTCACCAGGCAGGAAAGGAGCAGATCCAAAGGAGCCATCTGTCTGTGCTTGACGAAGTCCACCACATTCGCCACTACGATGAAGCCATTTGTGAAGACCCCAGTAAGAAATTGTGTCAGCGCTATAGAAAATGGATAATGAAGTGATGTGATGGCATGTTGGGAGGAGGAAAATCTTAAAAGAT